ATAGAAGTCGATTAACGTTTTGATCGAATTCCATATTTTCTTGGATCAAGAACATATGTTCTTCTTTCAAATATACTGCACCAAGTAAATGGTTTTATTGAAATAGTAGTGTAGGGGTATTCTTATTTAATCAAGACATCGGATAAATCAAATAGTATATTTATTATGTTGAAATTGGTAAGATGAATATATTAGTACATGTGGCTCATGTCGTTGGCTGACCAAGACTACTAACTCAAACTCAATTCAGCGCCCTCAAACGCTAAGTACTTAAACTAATGCCGCGATATTCAAATACATATATCCTACAATCGGCCATCCTTATTATTCATTCGTCTCGAATGTTTATATTTTCTTTACAGCCAGGGTTTCATGTATTCGGCGCAAGTGCTTGTATTTAAGGGGCCTTCTCCATTGCTTACACGCTTTACATTTTTATTTTCGTAATTTCGTAGGGACCTAAGAATTTGCAACGAAGATTTTTTCCGGGAGTCATTTGCGTACGTTTAATCGCCACTAATTGTCCAAGTGATTATTTAGTTAGATCACGACGTCGCAGATTATAATGTCGCCGATTTTCTTCCTGAACATTTAGAATTTGTTTTTTCGCTTCCGATCTAATTAACTCGCGATCTTCTTCGAACGCTAACTCAATTTCCTTTTCGATGATTTCTTTAAGAAGAATGTCTTCTTTACTTCGCATCTTTATTCCTATAAGCAGCTCGAACGGCGTTCTTCCAATACTTCGATGATAGGTAGAATTGAGTACTGCTTGAACTCTTTTTACGTGCTGATACCATTTTGTAGGGTTGTCCATTGATAGTTTGGTGAGGATAGGAATTATGGTTCGGTTGAGCCTCTCAACCTGACCATTAGCTCATTGGACGAAAATGCTGTTCCACGATCCGTGATCACTTGAGCGGGGTTTCCAAAAATCTCCTTCTGTTTCTCTAGTCTGTCAATAACCTCACGCGACGTCGCGTCGTAGACTTCGTTGGATAAAGCCATATGAATTTCGAAAAACTGTCAACCACGGCTAGAATGTGGTTATAGTTTTTGCTCGTAGAATCCAATGGGCCTAGGTGATCTAAGTGATAGGTAAAGAGAGGTACGTCTGCTTTTGGAAGAGGATGGAGATATCCTTCCTTCCTCCCCTCTTTTTTGTTCCCCATGATGCAGCGAACACAGTTGGCGATGACCTTCTCGAATTTAGCCCTCAAGTTTGGGATAAAATACTCCTTGTCAATTGCCGCTTTTGTTCTTTCAACTGCAAAATGTCCTTTGTCGTGGGCAGTTCGGATAATCTCGTCTTGCATACTGGATGGTACGACCAGTAAATCGGATCCATTGGAGAATCTATAAAGCACTTCAGCTCTCAAGAGGTAATCTTTCCATGGTTTGTCCTTGCACATCTCAATCAAGGTCTTCAAGTCGGGGTCTTCATTCTGAGCTTTCTTAAGTTTTAAAAGAATGTTGTCTAATGCGACCAGCATGACCGGATTGCGACTGATAGCATCTACGTGACGCATTCGATGTCCTGGTCTATGTTGTATTTTATACTGGTATTCCTCTAATTTTTGCACCCATCGACAGACTTTCGTTGACACATCTCTCCTCTTCAAGATTTGCTGAAACGCTGAGCAATCTGTAACAATCGTGAACTCAATAGGAATTAGGTAGACATGAAACTTATCGAGGGCTTCTACTATAGCCAATCCTTCCAGAGCGTAGCTAGTGTAATTTTGCTCATATTGGTTCGTCTTTCGGCTCCAAAAGTGTGTAGGATGAAATTTACCATCGACTGGGCATCGTTGCAATAATATTGCACCTATTCCAAATTTCGACGCGTCTGTGTGTAATTCTGTTTCGTACTTGGGATTAAAAATATGCAATACCGGTTCATTCACTAACACATTTTTCAAGGTATTAAAAGCATCTCGTTCGTCCGCATTAAAACAAAATTCTTTATCCTTACGCAAAAGGTCACTTAATGGCTTGGCGATCAAATTGTAATTCTCGATGAATTTGCGGAAATATCCGGTCAGACCGAGAAAACTTTGAATGTCCTTAATTGACTTTGGTTCAGGGTAATTAACAACAGCTTTTACTTTGCTCGGAGCAAGGTAAACTTTTCCGTCTTCAATTATCTGACCTAAGTACTCCACGCGTTTTTTTAAGAAATTACATTTTTTGAAATTCAATTCAAGACCGTACTGACTTGAAAGTTTAAAAACTGTTTCTAATCTTTCAACGGTTTCGTCTTCGTCTTTGGCCAAAATAATAATATCGTCGAAATAAATCTGAACTATTTCCTTTTTAACTAACGGTCGGAAAATGTCATTTATAAATCTTTGGAAAACTGCGGGAGAGTTACATAAACCAAAAGAGACTTCGCGAAATCTATACTGACCATCAGTAGTTACGAATGCTGTATAATCTCGACTACTCTCTTCCACGTCAACATGTAAAAATCCGTTTTTCAAATCTAAGATACTGAAAATTTTTGCGTTTAACAAATTATCGATTAATTCCTCTATAAAGGGAATAGGATATCGGTCTTTTTCTATTATCGTGTTTATTAATCTATAATCAATACACACGCGATACGTTCCGTCTTTTTTACGAACTAAGACAATAGGACTAGCGAATTCGGCTGAACATGGTTCTATAATTCCCAATTTAATCCATTCAAGTATTTGAGCTCTAACTATTTCCTGCTCGGATGAAGTCAATCATCGCGCTTTCTGAAAAATAGTCTTAATTCTTTTAAAATGATATTCATTTGAACAGAGTATGTTTCAACTTATGGATCTCTCGAGATTTAATTAAACTGATAACATCTTCACGGATCATGCTTATGTTACTACCTGTATCAAAAAGAGCGCTTAAGTTAACATTCTCAATCAAAACATCTTTAAATACGTCATTTGTCGAAGAATTATTTACCATATTTACATCTGAATTGGACGATCTTACTTGTAAGCACTGCGATGCGACATGGCCAAAAAGATTACATTTAAAACATTTTGTCCCTAAGGATTTGTTACCGCAATCCCTTGATCGATGACCGACAACACCGCAATTGTAACATCGAATCTCTGTTGACGTAGGCTTCTTCTTCTGAATTGAAGCAGCTCCAGGTGCTTGCTTCCTCTGATCTGACGTCTTCTTCTTCAACTCGTACTTCTCCTTTTCTGACACGTTCAGATTTCGTTCATTATTATCCGTCATAATCGTTTCGTAAATTTTCAGCTTCTCCTTAAAATCTCGAATCGTTTTCGCTCCACGAAGTACAATCGTTTTACTTGAATCATCACACAATCCGGCTATGACATACTCGAACAAAGCTTTAAGCTCGATAGTTCCTCTCGAAAAAAGTTCTTTCATCACTAAAAAATATTCCTGAACTGATTCACTTTTTTTTATTTTTCGTTGTTCTAACATCTTATGCAGTTGAATGCTGGTAACTTTCATTGTGAATTCTTCCAAGAGTGCGCCTTTTAATTTTTTCCAGGTCTTTAAACCATTTTCACCCTGAATAAATAATTTCGCAAGTCCATCTAATGATTTTTTCGCGAAAACAACCTTTTGCAAATCAGTCCACTTAAACATTCCAGCAGCATCTTCAAAATCTAGAATCCAGCGTTCGATAGAGTAACTGTCACTGCCATTAAATGGTCGGATCGATTCTTCAACATCTTTTAAACTCATAGTGAATTTCACATTCGAGTTATCTTCTTTTCGTCTTTGATTATTTCTATCGGCCACTTCATTATTTTCACTTTCACCACCTTCGCTGCCACTTCCTTCACCGTCGTTTTCTGAATCTGTATCGTCGTTGGAAACAAGGGAATTCAGGTCCATGAGACCATGGATTATACGAATTCGCAGTGCTTCTCTATCACCTGTATAGTCCAGTCCGAGAACGTTGCAAATTGAGGTTAAATCGGCAATAGAAAGTCTCGCTGCATACTCTAGTTTATTATTAAATTCTTCAGAATTTTCACTGAACTCGAATCCTCGGAATTCGCGTAATCTTTGCCGATTACCTCTGTCGCCGTCTTGCTCAAACACTAGCTTGTGTAAAGCCATCACTGTGTGAACTTACTTTAAGGTTCGTCTTCACTTTCGGTATTTGAGATAAATTCTCCATTGTCTCAAATAGGTAATACGCGTAAACTCGGAAAATCAACTTATTCTTTATGTTCACAAGTTATTTTGATAAACATAACCTCAACCTGTCAACAGCATTCGTTGTATTTCGTCATTGGCTTCATTCGTCTTTCGTCGTTAAACCTCGTCTTCGGCTTTTCTCGTCTTACGTCGTTAGACTTCGTCTAGTCTCGTCTTTCGTCTTCCGGTTGCAACACGTGTCTCGATTTTCAACAAAAATGGCCGCCTTCGAAGCTTTTTTACTGAACGATTAAACCGGGGAAATACGCACACGGATTTCAATTACCCGAATAGTTCAAACACTGTTTGTTGAAATGCGTCATTTCACAATAATGTGAATATCGTTTCTCTTGCCCAACACTTCAATATTAGGAACGATCACGCGTCTGAGCCACAAGCGTCGTTTTCGTCATTTTACTTTATTGTCACTTTAATGTTCACAAATCACAAATTTTTTATCTTTGGACGAGCTCCCAGAATTGTAGGGGTATTCTTATTTAATCAAGACATTGGATAAATCAAATAGTGTATTTATTATGTTGAAATTGGTAAGATGAATATATTAGTACATGTGGCTCATGTCGTTCGCTGACCAAGACTACTCACTCAAACTCAATTCAGCTCCCTCAAACGCTAAGTACTTAAACTAATGCCGCGATATTCAAATACATATATCCTACAGTAGTATAATTGATTTCACCGTATTCAGTCCCACGATTTTCTTGAACCAAGTAAAATTTTCTTATCTCAATACTATTTTTTTCAGTGTACGAAATTGATCTAAAAGATTTTAATTTATTTCTAATTTTAAAATGGTAAAAATTTACCTCGACGACAAAATAAAGAGGATCTCCAGGAAGGGCGTGTACGGCGAGATAGCGGCTGGCGGACACCAGGGGTTGAAGGCAGGACCGCGCAGCCGTGACACCGCTACCACGCATGCTGCATGCTTCATGTCGTTGTCGCTACGCCCAGCGTGCTCACTAAAAGTAGAAAAAACTATCATTACTCACATTTACAACAAAAGGATATCCCACGAAATGATTGGATAACCCTGAGATATCACAGATATTCTAGGGGTATCCCTAGGATATCCAAATTTCCATCCCGTGGGTAATCCGTGCTGTATATCCTAGGGATATTTTATATGGGATTTTCCGCAGTATCTGAGACGGGATATCTCACATTAGATATCACATGTACATAATCCAAAATAAATTAAGATTTTTAAAATTGAAATAACAAAATTATGAAATGCACAATTATAATCATAATACTTTTTTATTAAATTCTCTTTCGATCAAAATATATATAAATATAGCTTTACATTCCAACAAATGATTTACTTTAAGTATTTTTGGAAAGACGTTCTTGTAACGTTTATGTCCTATACATCTTGTCAGCTATGTAGAACTATCCCAAGGAGTTTCCCGCACATGCGCAAAAATATATATCCCACACGGGAAGTCTCAGGAATATCCCGTGGGATGTCGCACAGAACGGAAATTTGGATATCCTAGAGATATCGGCGATGAAAATGGGATATCTATGGGATATCCCATGCTGTGAGGGCAAATAATTCCATTTAACCCACACTGAAAAAAAACAAGTAGGTTATACTACTTTTTAACTACTCTGCGTAGTACAATAGGTCCTCAATAATTGAATTTAACTGGTTCTATTAACTATGTATATAAAAATAGTTTAACCAATTAAGAATGAAATTTTGTGATTGTATTAACTCAATTAAAAAATGTTAAAACAACTTAAGATGTAACTAGTAGATTTTACTACTTAAAGTGGTTCAATAGGCTTTAAGAACATTTTTTGTACAATTAATAAATATTTTGCAATTAAAACTACAACTTTAAGTAGTAGATAGGAACTTAAAATAGGAAAATTAAATGATGTATTATTTATAATTGTTAATTATCAGTAGAATTGACTTTTTCATCCTCTCTTCTATAATGACGCTTATTTTATGCCCTAACGCTTATGTACACGGAGAAAAAAAACAAGCGAATATAATAGAGACAGTAACTATACTACTTTTGCGCGTGCGCTTTCTACGATATTCGTAAAAAAACATACCCAATTTGCAGGGTCCCATACCAAAATAGTATAGATCCCTGCAAATATCGTAGACACACCTATCTTTAACGAAGAAAAAGTTGGTCCCCGATGCCGAAAAAAAACTCTTATATATTTTGAATCTCTGGACACTAAATGAACAAAATTTCAAAGATTCAAAATCGTAACCGATCCTCCTGCATGACTTTTTATGTATTTATTGTTTTTTTATGCATTATAATGAAAAATTGCTTCATTACAATGAGTTGAAATTACTAGTGCAATCTTTTTATACTTATTAAATGTAAAAATAATAATAATACATAACTATAATTTTTGGGAATGAAAGTTGGATGATCAATATTGTAATTTTAAATCCGCACTGTCAACAAAAATAATAAGAGAGTATTTTCCCTAGAACACCGCAGATGCAAACATTAGATTATCCAAATTTATCCAAATTATATATATTATAACAAGTTGGCTAAAATTAGTTAAAAGTTTTGTAGAGTTTTGTAGTTGATTTATTTTTAATCACGCGTTTTGTCATGATTAAAATAGAAAGTTTGTACCTTATGTGGTAAAAAAATTGTTTGCAAAGACGGTAATTTATAAACTTTTTTCTTCACAGAAAGTCATAAAAAGATCTTTCAAACTTTTATTAATAAAAATTTTTCTTTAAGTAATTTGAAATTTCCAACGATTTATTATATTTATTTATTTATTTATTATATTTCAAGCATGACAACAGGCGTGATTTAACTTGTAGTAATAAGTCATTTTTAAATAGATTAAAAATAAATCAACTACCGTAAAATGAGGTAAAGTCGGCGTTTGCGGGTAAAGTCGGCCGGCAGTTTAAACACTTAAATATTGTATTTCATTTATTAATTTACACTAATTCTAACTACATTTTTAATAAAACTCGGATTTCTTCTGGAAAAAAGTAATAGTTAAATTTTAAAATAATTTAAAGCGCCGGCCGACTTTACCCCATTTTACGGTACATCTACAAAACTTTGAATCAATTTTAGCCAACTTGTTATCATTTATTTTCTTACACGATACAAATACAAATTCTAATAGCAGTAACTAATGTTGCGTATATTAATAAGAATAAGAAGTGATAGAAAATTTGGATAATCTAATGTTTCCATCTGCGGTGTTCTAGGGAAAATACTCTCTTATTATTTTTGTTGACAGTGCGGATTTAAAATTACAATATTCATCATCCACCTTTCATTCCCAAAAATTATAGTTATGTATTATTATTATTTTTACATTTAATAAGTATAAAAAAATTGCACTAGTAATTTCAACTGATCTGCACATCGTAATGAAGCAATTTTTCATTATAATGCATAAAAAAACAATAAATACATAAAAAGTCATGCAGGAGGATCGGTTACGATTTTGAATCTTTGAAATTTTGTTCATTTAGTGTTCAGAGATTCAAAATATATGAGTTTTTTTCGGCATCGGAGACTGCTCGAAGACTACTTTCTGCTGGTTCAATTGATAGGTAATTCATTCAACTATATAAAGAAGTCATTTTTACTACTTTTATTAGTGGCTATAACTATCTTGCGTAAGTTTTGACTTCTAAATTTTTCATCTCTTAATTATATTATAAGTTGTTTTATTGTATAGTGCAGTAAAATCTACTACTTAAAGTGATAGTTTTAATTGCAAAGGATTTTTTAAATCTCTAACATAAATGTTCTTAAAGCTTATTGAACTACTTTAAGTAGTAAAATCTACTACTTAAAGTAGTAGTCTTAAGTGGAAACGATTTGTAAATTCTACATCAAAAATGTTCATAAAGTTTATCGAATTAATTAAAATAGTAAAAATCTACTACTTAAAGTTGTAGTTTTAATCTTAAAGAATTTGTTAATTCTATAACAAAAATGTTCTTACAGCCCCCACACAGCACCGAAAGTTTCCTAAACCTGTATTAAAGCTGTGCGTGCCAAGTTGGAAAAATTTACCGTAAAGCTTAGCACAGGTTGTGTAAATATGTAAATGTCCGCAATTGAGTAAATGTTTAGCGTAAAACTGTACTGAATCTTTAAATTACGTATTTAGTACAGGTTTAGCGTAAAACTGTACTGAATCTTTAAATTACATATTTAGTACAGGTTTAGCGCAAAACTGTACTGAATCTTTAAATTACATATTTGGTACAGGTTTAGCGTAAAACTGTACTGAATCTTTAAATTACATATTTGGTACAGGTTTAGTGTAAAAGTTGCCTGAACATTTAAAATAAATCTTTTGTAAAGTTTTATCATAAAATTTGCTTAAAAATTAAAATTAAATCTTTATTACAGTTTTAGTGTAGAAATTGTCTATAAATTTAAATTAAAGCTTTATTAAATATTTAGTGCGAAATTAAACTACAAAAGTGTTCATTACATTTTCGTTAAATTTTTGATATTGAGAAATTGTTAACTGTAAATGATGCAGACAATTGAAATAAACAAAAAAATAACTAATTAGAAAAGGTATAATTAAATGAAACTTCAAATACAGTGTACACAAATATATTTATTAAAATTTTGCATTTTCCAAAACAATTATACAAACAAATTTAAATTTGTTTGTATAATTGTTATAGATTGTTATTATTGTTATTAATTGTTATTATTTATAGACAATTTCTACACTAAAACTGTAATAAAGATTTAATTTTAATTTTTAAGCAAATTTTATGATAAAACTTTACAAAAGATTTATTTTAAATGTTCAGGCAACTTTTACGCTAAACCTGTACCAAATATGTAATTTAAAGATTCAGTACAGTTTTATGCTAAACCTGTACCAAATATGTAATTTAAAGATTCAGTACAGTTTTGCGCTAAACCTGTACTAAATATGTAATTTAAAGATTCAGTACAGTTTTACGCTAAACCTGTACTAAATACGTAATTTAAAGATTCAGTACAGTTTTACGCTAAACATTTACTCAATTGCGGACATTTACATATTTACACAACCTGTGCTAAGCTTTACGGTAAATTTTTCCAACTTGGCACGCACAGCTTTAATACAGGTTTAGGAAACTTTCGGTGCTGTGTGGGCCTATTGAACTACTTTGAATAGTAAAATCTACTACATAAAGTAGTAGTTTTAACTGGAAACGATTTGTAAATTCTACATCAAAGATGTTTATAAAGTTTATCGAATTAATTAAAATAGTAAACATCTTCTACTTAAAGTAGTAGTTTTAATTACAGACGACTTGTTAATTCTACAACAAGAATTTTATTGAAGCCTATAAAGTCATAGAAATCAATAAAACAAATTTTGAGTTGACTACAATTACAGTTGTTCTTACTACATTAAGAAAGTTAATTTTACTACTGACCTGTAGTTGTACTTTAACTACATATTTTAGGTACAAGATTTTGTTCGGAATTGCCAGAAGTTAATAATACGAGATTTTTGCGAATTCTTTTGTTTTCTGTATTTTTAGTGCTGCAAAAAAGCGATCAACTTCTTATTATAAAATTTTTTTAATGTTATTGTTCTGTCAAATTTATCGAATTAATTTTTAACTTGGAATGGAAAATTCAAAGAAAAGATCTTTGGAAGAAGAACAAAACATTATTATAATGAGAATACTAAGTGTACTGAATATTACGAATTTAAATTTAAAAAAAATGAAATAAATAATTAAATAATTTAAAAAATTATTAAATCAAATTTTTCAAATTTATTATTTATTAATAATATTTATAGTAATATAAATATTTCTCAATAATTAATAGTAGTATTTCTCAAAAGTCAATCAAAAATTCTGTTACTTTCATTCATAGCGGCGAAAGTGTAACGGAAAATCTCTTGCTGTTTCTTTTGATTACTTTCTTGACAGCAACAAAATAAAATGGGGAAAATGTAAGATTTGTCT